CCGGCAAGCCGTAGTCCGCGGCCCGGCGCCCAGTAGTAATGGAACGCGATAATGCTGACAGCAGGTAAGGCATCGCGGCGATCCGACGGGGAGTAGTAGTGAGTGTCAGGCTATAGGCGGACCGGGGCCTCCGCGCTCTACCGTGGGGGCCGTGTTGAAGCTGTTGTGTGTGTGTGTGTGTGTATGTGTGTGTGTGTGTGTGTGTGTGTGTGCGCTATTAAGCGGTAAAAAAAGATTATGCTCGTAGCAGGAAATATTTGACACAATATATGTTGTGAGAGATTCTGCACTTGTTGTTTTTCCTAGATAACGTCCTAAAAGTACGATATGTCTACGACAAATCGAAAACCTGAACAATGACAAAGATAAATTTGCATTAGAGTTTTGATGATATTTAACACGGCATGAAAAAAAAGTTTCCGGAGAAAAGATAAAAAAATATAACTTTAAAACTTCAATTTCTTACTTTCATGTCTAGTTCTTTTCTTTTATATCAAATTATAAAATGCGAGTCAAATATTATATTTGTCCAAAGAATCGCGTTAATCTTATTATTTCATTTTATATTTGCGAAATTCTACGAATGTTGCACGTATTACGTTACCCCGTTACAGAAATTTTTCATCACTAAAAAATTTCCTCTTTAAATAGTTCCTCTTGTATAGTTTATTGAAACGTCCACAAACTATTTTTATTAATTACATTTTTTTTTTAATGCTCCGTTTTATCGAAATTTAATGTCGCCGGAACGACATGCGGAAGACGGCGCGTGAATAAATTGTTCTCTGATGACACCAATGACATTTTAATCGTTTAGTCTCGCATTACACTTAACTCTCTCTTCTACGATTTTGGTACGCATAACATATATCGTGCCAGACAAGTAAATTTAGGTAATGAGACTTTCCAAACATGTTAGCATGAGCTCTTGTTTGCCAGATGCGCTAACACATAAATTCCTGTTTGCCGCAGCATATATAGTAGCTAAGAAATATACTTCAGCGGATGCTTGCAAAGCACTTGGAAATACTTTATGAATATAGACTGATTTCTCTCTGGTGTATATTTCAAGTGATTTTGTGAAAAACAGCGATATGATCTGTATGCGTACAACCATTAAGATTTATAACACAATGAAAACTGGCAATGGGAATTGGCGTAGTTAATGAAACATTTTTAAAGTTCAGTCGTTGACGAGTATGGTTATGATATATTACGATCTTTATTTTAACTTTCTTGATTTTTACATCTTTATATTATTTATTACGTTATTTATTAATTACTTATTTATATATTTATATGATAATGTGGTTATGTGTGTTCTGGCGTGTCAGAGGCCATACAATGCGTCCAGCTTAATGTTTAGACATTCATGGTGAGGAGTCTGGACAGTTCTTTCAACAATCGATTGCAGAAGGATGCACTTGTTTGAATTAAGCGTGAGACCATAATTTTGTTACGTCATTGATGGCTGAAAATGTTAGCCGAAACGTTTGATTTATGAGATTAAAATTTTTATATTATTAAATTGCGTATCATTAACTACGTTGATTTCCATTGTCAGATTTGCCAGTTTTTATTGTGTTATTTTAATATCGGAAATCTTAAAGGAATTTTTTGTTTTTTTAAGATTTATAATAGGACTTATCGGAAAAAAAAGAAATTTTAATAAACCCCGTATCCCCGGAGACTAACAATTTTGAATGTTTCCTGTCTTTCATTTAACTCTTGATTCGTTTTTCTACGGCTACATTCGTCGCGGGATAAGTGACATGTCGAGAGTAATATAAGGGGAAGTAATAAAACGGAAATATGGAAAGAAAATTGATTTTCATCGATTAATAAACCAGAGCCTTACGTATTGGCAAACGTAAACCGAGCTAATGAGAGTAACAAGATAAATACGCATTCCTAAGTTACATATCGCAACTGAATTTCCGAGAGGATTATCGGTTGATTATATATACATATAGAGAGAACTCTTCGTGTCGTAACGTACCTCTCGCGCGCTTTTGTATCCCAGAAGTATGATCTCTTCGGGTAAAACGGCGAATTTCGTACACATGGGTTGTGTGAATCGCGCGCGTGATCGCGCAGAGAAAGGTGTGCCGCGCGCGCGCGCGCGTGGCATCGATGCTGATTTTCTCTCTCACAAGCAGTCTGCTTTCAGCCGGTAGATCGTTACCATCGATTCCTCGTCGTCTATCTCTCATCGATCGCTCCTCGTGCGTATTGAATAAGTCACTAGTAACTTGACGTTGCTTAACGCGCGCATCAAGAACTGCGAATTTCCCCGTCGACGTATCAGTATATTTATGTCCGTTTTATATTGCATTTCACAAATCTTCTTCTCGTGTCGTCTAAGAAATACAAATCTAAACAAAAACGCTTATCCCCTTCTTACGATTTCGAATATTTAGATCGTTTCTGTCGCTATAATCTTTTTCATCACCCATTTTTGTTATTCCGACATGTTGTTTTTAAATACCTCGCGACGAAATCCTTTAATTTACAAATCGAGGCTTTATTCAATTCAGATTCGCTCACACTGCAGTTATTGATAATAATTTACAATTTAAATTGAGGCTCGACACGTATCACAGTTATCATTATATGAAAATTAAAGGTCATCGGTGGTGACACCGACGGGATTTGTCCGTGGAGCGGATCGGCGCGAGGCTCATTCGAGGCTGTTCTTTTCGAATTGCAGATCGAATATAAGTGCGCGCGTGTGGTTCGTGTGTGTGTACATGTGCCATCATCACCGCCGTCCGCAGCAGTAACGGAAAAGAAAAGGGCTCGACCCGCAGTGGCCGGAACACCACCGAAAAATGGACGCGATGCCGCAGCGAGTTATCTCCGGTTTGCTTTTGTTCGCCCTCGCTACATTACACCTCGGTAAGTCCCTTCGATTTATTAACAACAATCAACGAGGTCGCCGAGAATGCGATCGCCGGATGCGCAGCGAAGTACGCGACATCACACCAGTCTGGAGAAATTATTGTTAAATTCGACAAACATGCAACTTTCTTGCTTGCTTTCCGGAGTAGTATTTCAAATACCAATTTTGTGATGTAAAATATAGTTTTGAAAGTAATGAATTAGGGAAATTATGATTACTAATAACCAGTTTTTGTAATTTTCTTTCTATCGTTATTGCAAACACTGAGAGAAAAATATTTTGTATTTGTAACTATTGGTAAAAAAATTATGATTAGTAGCATTATTTTTATAGTCATTATTACTAATGTATAATGTTAGTAATAATAACCTTATGTATATATACATACATATATAGTCCTATCAAATATGAAAAAATTGTACTATAAATTATAATAATTTCAAATACTAGTATAGTAAAATACTAAAATATGTATGAGACAAATGAAATAAATATTTTTATGTAGTAAATGCAACTGCAATTGTAATAAGTATAACTATTTTTTTAACATTTGTTTATTATTTATTTTGTAATAATAACTAAAAAATAGATAAATAAAAAAATAATATCAATCATAATAATGTATAACCATGATACATTGTTAAAGCAGCTAGAATTTGCATGGTTAAATTAATTATAATTTTATAGTTGTTCTCGAAATTCACTATAAATTATAGTTAAATTATGGTTATTCCAACTATATTTTTCTCTCGGTGAATACGAGAAAGAATTAGGATAAAATTTTTTAATGAGTTATTTTTAATTTTCTCGAAATATTTTTTGAATTTTATTTTTTTTACAACTGATTATCAATCATAATGTATTTATGAAATCATGCGTATTAACTATTTAGATTTTTGATACTTATATATCTTTTATCTCGTACATTTAGTTCAACGTTATTGCGCCATAATACCGTAACATTTATATGCAAATATCCGCAATATATGCATAATGTATTATGAGCGCGCAAATAGCCATTTTTCCGCATACCGTAAGAGTTAATATATTTATTCAGCTCGTAATAGGCTGGCATTGTGGCGTGTACTCCGAAAGTGCTCTATGTTATAATAATTTAAAATGGATTCGCGGCGCGCATCGCGCTGTAGAAGTGGCGCATAAGCAGTTACCTGTATATAGTTATTGTTATTACGCCGCGCCCATTATTTTGCGGTAACGTTCGCATCTCTCTCGAGTCTTGTTATTACACAAAGAGATTTAAATTACATGGCCTTCCGTTTTCACGGCGCAGGCGGATGCGGGAAAAACGCACCTTACGGAACCGTTCGCCGACCTCTCAACCTTCCGAGAAAAAAAAAGAATACGCGCGACGCTCTCGCAAATTTCGCCAAAACTCTCTGTGCGATATGCGTTTACTCCTTACGCGAATTCATACACAATCATTTAACCAAGATATTTGTAACGAAAATGGTATGGAGACTTAAAATTACTGTAAAAGTACCAATCAAAGTGACGTAACGTAAGAAAGCGATTGCCATATTGCCGACCTTTCTTTCTAAGGACATCAACGTTAACATTACACAGAAGAAAAATTTGTGTTAAGTTTAATACGTCTCACATGTCCTAAACGGTCCACTCAAATTTTTGTGTTAATTTAACGCAAGATGAATATGTAGAAAGTAACACAATTATTATGTAAACGTTAATATAAAAAATGTAACACTTTAATACAATTTGGAAACAAATTGTAGAAACATTATTCTTTAGTAAAATTAACACTTACAACATGTAAAATTAACAAGTATATTTATCTTTTATTCATTTATCTTAGAATTTACCGTTTAAAACTATTTTATTTTTATGTTATTTATTCACTTATTTATACATTGTGTTATTTTGACACGAGAAATATTGAATATCAATTTAACACAATATTTAAATAACATAATCACATTATGTTAATTTTACAAGCAAGTATGTTAAAAATTCGACACAAAATTTTAACAAGAACGTAAGTGGATTGTTTCCAACATAAATACAAAATATTTTTTACTGTGTATATTTACATACGAAACACACGTGCCTAACGTGATATTATTTGAGAGAAGTAGGACTCAAAATTTAATATAATCAGAGATAATTTACAACCTTCATCTATCTTCAGATATAGTCAGCTCGAGAAGGACGGTTTGCAACGAATCTTTCGGTATATATTTACCATAAAAAACCTTTTTTAAAAAAAAAAAATATACGCCAAATACATAAAAAAAGTCGCATGTTACATTCTTTCTAAAACTAAGAACAATTTTTTATGAAATGATTTAAATATACAATTATTCAAAAATTAATTGATTAATCAAAAATAGTCGTGAAATTAATAAAATTAGCTAAGTACCTAATTATTAAAAAAAGACCTCAAAAAAGTTTATTTGTTAAAAACATTCAAAAATTAAAAAATGGAAAAGTGATAAACTGGATTATAATGAAGAAAAAACTTGGCGTGCCCGGGTTGCATTAATTGCATTTCTGTAATAAACATGTAAATTTATATGAAAATATATATATATATATGTCGCATGCTTTTTGTATAATCAGCCTTTTTGCAAAACGACGCCTTTTTGGATAACGCCAAGAAATATATGGTTTGGGTTAAGAATTATTTATTGCAAACATTCATTGCAAACCCATGTGGATCACTGGCTTTGCGTTGTAAAGTACGTGTGTGGAGGCAGTATGTTGAGCCCCTCCCTACGGGGGGGCTCCACCTTGTTTTAAACTAACCCAAACCTAACCCTAACCCAAACCATTTTCGAAGGCGTTATGCAAAAAGGCGTCTTTTTGCAAAGAGGCTAGCCTTTTTGCAAAAAGGCTGATTATACAAAAAGGCTGCAACATATATATATATGTGTGTATATATGCTTTTTTATCTAACTATTGCGTTCATGTTTGTGTATATCCGCAACTATTGTATGTAATAATGTTTTTATATATATTTATTTGTATTACAAATATTTTATACACTATAAATCAAAGGTTGTGGAAGGTTGCGTTTTAATACGACTCGGGCACTTTGTCTGACTATTAGTTTCATGTTTGTGTATATCTGCAAATAATTTCTATACTATGAAACATGTGGAATATTGCATTTTAATGCGACCCAGACACGCCAAGTTTTTTCTTCATTATAATCCAGTATCACTTTACCATTTTTTAATTTTTGAATGTTTTTCACAAATACTTATTAATTTTAGTTACAAATATAATACTTATTAATTTTATAGTGCTGTTGCTCTTGCAGCTGAACAACAACGATTGATATATACATATATGTAATCGAAATCGATTACTAATTTTAACAAGAAGATTTTATGAATATTCGCCTTGAGGGACAAACCGCTTTGCATGTATACGTGTGACTGAAAAATGCCACTTTTGAATAAAGTGACACTTTTCACGAACTCGATCTCAAAATCTCAATATTAACTGTACCAATTTTATTCGCAATGGTGGCAATCGAAAGTTTGTATCGACATTATATCAGAAAATGTCGTTAGATTTTTTATTACTGTTATAATTTCTGAGATATTTGAATTGAAAATATGTTTGACATAAAAATTCCAGATAAAGCTATTTTTTTCATGTACTTGGCATCGCGCCGCTACCGCGTCGCTTGATGGTAACGCCACGACATTTGCGCAATGAAGTAACACACAGTCACGCGGTCATCAGTGTCATCACTCTTTTTTATGTACTTGGCGTCGCGCCGCTACCGCGTCGCTTGATTTCTCTCGGTTTCAAAGGACGCAAGATATTTTTCAAGATAGTACTTTTCTGCATTTTCTCCATTTAAAATAATAATAATAATAATAATAATAATTTATCTAATAGCTAATGATTATTATTGAAATTATATATAGCATTTAATAATTAAAAAAGCTAATTTTTAAAAACCTGTATACAGTAAAAATTTTGCATTTGCATTAAAATCGATTATAATTTTTATGATGAATTTTTAACATGTCCAATTATTAATTAAACATGTGAGTGTTACTTAAATATGTTAAATTATGTTACTTGAATTAAATTGAATTGTTAAATTTAACATGTGATTGTGTTACTTGAATATGTTAAATTGATATTCAGTATTTTCTTATTGTTAATGTTAAAACAATACAATTTATGAGTAAGCAAACAAATAAAAATAATGTATTTTCAAACGTAAATTTTAAGACAAATGAATAAAATATTAATTTTACTGAAGAAATATCCTTCCACAATTTGCTTACAAATTGTATCAGTATTATCTTTTTGAATTAATTTTTTATATAATATTTGTTGGGTTACTTTTTAACGTATTTATCTTGTGTTAAATAAACACAAAAATTTAGATGAACTGTTTGGAACATGTAAAATGAAATATGTTAAAAACATAAATTTCTTAACTATGTATATGTATGTATGTATACATCGAACCGTTTTTTAAAAACGTTACTCTGCGAGATCAGTTACCTCCGAAAGTTTTGTGGATCAGAAGATTATTCATGTCACATTGCAAAAAAAAAAAAAGACGGTAATCCGTATGATATTGAACGACCTTGTTTCACGCGACATTTGATCGCGGTGAATCGCGTTGTTAATGAGTAAAAAAACATGTCGCGATGTCATCGGCGACGTCGCGCGATTGCGCGGCTGTAATTTGAAAACTTTTAGCGATTTAGAACGTAAATTACTCATAAAGGAAAACGGGGACGCAGTCGACATCTTGGCGCGATGTACAGAGACGGCGGTATGTTTTATAAATGCGTCGCCGTAATTGCATAATGGCCACGGTGTGTTCGCGCCAAGATACCCGAAGCCCTGGCCTGGTTTTTGCTAGAGGACTTTCACTCAGCGTCACTATCTTTCTCTTTCTCCACCTGTCTCTTTCCTGCCGACGCCGGGCTCGCTTTCCGTCTCGTTGCTTCGCTCCGTTCCCTCGCTCGTTTCCTCTCAAACG